ATACTAACCTTAGCATAAGCCACAAGTCGTACAGCCTGCCAACGAGCAGGATCATAATCCGCCCACAAACGACCTAATCCGATCAATATCCATAACTTCAATAGACGACAATCTTTTGCTTGATTCTCACTCAACAGCTCAGTGCAAAGGTTGACATATCCTTTCTTTGTGAGATTCTCTTGCGCAATTCTATAAGAAATTATTGAAATATACTGATTTTGTGAAATCATTGAAAGAACTGGCATCTCACCTGTAATTGTTATGAAATAATGTGGCCAATACAAAAGCAACTACAATCTTTTGTCGGGGTAGTGTATCTGGATCGTTGAGAATGGTGACGAAGAAATGGTACCTGGAAAATTCTTCTGACAGATGGTTTTCGATAGTCTCGTTCTTTGAGAACCCGAAAGCAAAACATTTCTTATAATAAAAAGACTCCAGGTTTGATTCACTCCATCGCAGAATATAATGTAGCTTGACTAATTTCGTTTATTCCTTGCAATTTTGATCCACTACTAGTGTGGCCATCAACTTGAAGAAGTTACTGCTAACGGTCAACCCTTGAGGTATCACGCGCTAACGTGCACTATACGACACCACATCCCTTGACTGCTGAATGATAATGGTCCTAGCAAACCAGCGCCGATACAAGAGGCCACTAGTAGCGGATTGGAAGGCTTGGAGCTGGCACATGATTTCAGCCTGTAACTACTGCTGTGATGAAACTTTGGTATCATCAGATTAGACCCCATCAGACAAGTGCACGGCTCACTTCCCTCGAAGGTACGCTCTGCTTCATCTGGTTGGTGTGCAGGCGCTTTCTTTGGATAGTAGCCCCGTACGCAAGCAAGGAGGATGTGCTCATTTCACAGCCTTAAAACAGTGAGCAGAGCGCAACCCACTCACGACGAAGTTATCGCCCACTCACTGGCCACCCCAACGCCCACCTTTCATTTCCAAATGCATCGTGGCGCGATTATTCTCTGCCAGATCCATCCATTTCGAACGGTGAGTGAGCTGATAGAGGAAAGAGGTGATACCTAACAGAGGGAACTCGTCCGATGACGCCTCACCTTATGCACATATAAGCACTGTTCAGGGACCTATTTGATGCGTATCCGCCAGGTTTCGTCTGCATATTTGTTATTTTTGTGTTACACACCATCTTGCCACTAGTGTCTGAGCCATAGATTTCACCATATTGGAAAGCGAGACGAGGTTTTTGAACCTAGATGTGGGCCCGCGAGGAGGGCGAAAAGGGTGCGCTAGGAAGGAGAAATGCGATAGCTTCTGAGGGAATAAGTCCGATTCTCAGTAGTGCAAAAAGTGATGCCGCTTAGTAGCTAGCGAAAGAGAAACAAAAAAATGGCAACCTGTTCGGGCAGTTATAAAGTAATGTTACCATAAACTAAGGAGTGAAAAGAAGGAAGTAATGAAAGGATACGTTGCAACGAGACTGGAGTCGTAAAAGAAAGCAATTCAAATATGAAATTTTCCTTCATAAATTATAAAAAAACACCGCAAGTCGTGTTAAGAGAAGCATACCGTAGCTGAACGGGTTTTGAACGATTCGTGGATTCAAATCGCCCTGGTTCATCTCCATTTTCCTTGAACAACTCCGACTGAACACTAGGGTCGACAGCAAGAATCTGTAACAACAAAAACCTCGAATAATAACTTAGATACGTATACCTGAACATACATATGGTACCCACAAGCTTCAAGGGGTGTTAAAATTCAAAAATTGCGCCTTTTTTTAGATTTTTCTCTGAAATCCATAACTAGGATTGCAAGTTTCTCCACACTTCAAGCATTCCTTCGTAAGCTGAACAAAAAAAAGGAACAGGCCGCTCGTGAAGGTGGTATCCTCACTCCGCTTGGCCCGCACAGCATTTTCAAGGAATTTTGCTGATTTTCTATCCAGCACAACACTTGAGTACTCCAATTTATGCACATCGTTAATATCGAGTAATATTGCCGGAAACAAAATGCAACAAACCTTTGCCCAGATAAAAGCAAGCCATGTCCTGAGCTCTCTTGATGTACTTTGCAGCAATTTGAGCATATACGGAAAAATCCCGACGGATAGTGAATAGCCAACAGCCCACTGCCCGAGATCCAAAAATCGGGCAAGAAGTTCAAGAGCACGTTGACGATGTGCCTAGAGGAGGAGATTCTCAGTGCAGAAATTACAAGGAAACCACCACAATATAGGAATTTAATAACTCACTTGACTAAGTAAAACTTGCAGGACAATCGGGAGCTG